TTGCTACGTCGCACGATATATAAAACTCGCACGAAATGGGAATTCGATAGGTTAATTTCGCACCGATATGGGAAAGTTGCTTTAAAACACAGTCTCCCATAAAAATCTCTCCCAGCGCAAATCCGATCTCGCGAAATACGTACCGATTTTCGCTAGGGCTTTACGACGAGGAATTAAAGAAGATGGCGGAACGGAAAACACGTGGACAGGATCGATCTCGCGAAGAAAGAGCAACGATACGATCCTATACTGGGTAAGATAGTAACTCAAATATAAATATATTTTCTACATTTGTTCATTTGAAATAATTATTTGCTTTCCTATTGAATCTATTTGAATGTAATTTAAAGTCCACTTGATTCTACAAGAATATTTTCAATCGCGTAATTTTCCACGACGAATTAGAAATAGTTATTCGAAGCGAATATTCCCCTACGTCAGTGTTTTATTCGAGCTTAGTTGAAGTAGTTACTTATTTTTTTTTATCGACTGAGGTATTATCGACTGAGAGTTTATTCGATTCTATAAGTATACGATGACCTTGAAATAGTTGCTTGAAATGGATTTTCTAATTATTCGTGCAACGAAATAATTGAATATTATTTCTCGTGAAATCGTTTCCTAATTTTTTTAGTTTTTTATTAGAATGAAATCTGGTCTGCGAATTAGTCGCGCATGTGTCTTTTACGTGACGAGTAATTAACACCTTGGCTAGCCTTGTCTCAGGAATAATGCTCAATATTTGTCTTCCTTCATACGTTTTTCCCCGTTAATTTCCATCAGAAGTAATGTTCAAAATGATTCAATGCAAGCTTCGAAGCGTGAAACATTATTTTAAATAATAATATACGCTATAGTCTTTTCAGTTAATTTCTCTCTCTGGAGTAACATTCGAGATAATCAATGCAAGCACCGAAGCAAAACTGAATTATTATTTTAAACAGTAATTTCTACCTTAATTAAATTATTATTATTATACAACTTAATTAAATTATTGTTATTTCGTTCGAAATGAATGATTTCAGTATACTTGTCTGTATCATTGTCAAGTGAAATAAATTCCCAAATTTCAAGAACATTTTATCTCAATAAGAAATTTCAAGGATATTTGATCTCGAACGAGAGTTCCGACAATAGCTACATTTCATTTCTTGTAATATTTCAATTACTCGTTCCATTCTGTTCCATTCCATTTCTTACAAGTTCCATTTTCAATTACTATATTTTTGATTTCTCATAGGATAATTACCGTTCTCCTCGAGGGGGGCGAATTTGTCGCGGCAGAGCAGCACCAGAGGTAGCCAGCAGCGCGCGTAGAACGCCCCGGCCGAGATCAGCAGAACAAGCACCAACACGCCCACCAGGAACGATCTCCGCCAGGATCCGTTTTGTAGACCAAGCGCGAACTGTGGCTCTGCAAAAGCAAACGTCCGCTTTATTTCCCTACCATCGACGGAAAAGTGGAGGACAGAGTTTCTTCTCCTCTCGATCGTTCGAATTTCGCTTAATTGGCTGGAATTAATTGGGTGGGGGCTGCCGATCGGTAACGAGCGGCGAATTAAATCGGACGCGATTGAAATCGCTAGCAGACGTCCGTTTAAACGGATCTCGGATGGTTAATTAAAGGGCACCACACGCGCACGGATCAATCCCCTCCACTTTTCTTTTCCTCTTGCTTTCTTCGTTTCTCGGGCCTCTCGCCGAATAGACATTGCATCTTATGGACTTTCGTGACCTGGAGTACCGAAAAATCACTGATGCGCACTTTAAACAACGTTTGAACAACGATGAGATGATTGGGAAATGAACAGTGAATACGTTCAGCCATTTTATGATCCTTCGATTGATGAAGGTATACACCACCACGTGCTATCAATTCAATAAATAATTCTCGAAACAGATCTGGCAACGGTGTTCATACTTTTTTCATTTCAATTTTCACCACTGGCGGCGCTGCGGTGCAAAACTCTGGCTGAATCGGTACGACAGGGCGTGACACGAAAATGGTGATGGCGACTTGAAAATCGTGGGGCCGAAAGAATCCAATGCGTGCAATGTCTATTCGTATAGTGTGTAGACGCGGTTGAAAATCTCGAGGCGATTACCCTGCCGATAAACGTGAGCCGGTAACGTGATCTCCTCGTCCACGCCGTTGCTGACTTCGCACTTGTACTCCCCGTAATCTTCCAGCGTTATGTCCTCGATCTCCAAGTAAGAGCCGATTATTTGATTGTTTTCCCTGAAAAAGAGCACAATCGTTGATTAGCAAAGTCAGAAGAGACGACAGTCAGAAGAAAAAGGGATGAGAAACAAGAGAAAGGTTAAAACATTCTTCGAAGAAGGAAAAAGAAGGAAAAACACTGGCAAGAGAGAATCGTTCGTGGGAGATTCGTCGACGCGCGTAATTACCGCTCGCCGCGTTCTCAACGGAAAACGAAGCTGACGTCATCGGTCGAAGATGACTCTGCATGTTTCGCGCACCTGCGTCCCTCTAATTTCGATCTATCGACGGCGTTCATACCGACGGAGTCCATCGACCGGAATTTCTCCAACGAATCACAGTGATCTGTAGTTTTGACCAAGATCATTTTAGTTATTTCAAAATTAGTTGTTTTAGGTTAGTTATCTCGAGATTTGAGATAATCGCAGTGTGGTTCGCCTTGACGTCAGCTTTTTAACGTTATCAAGTCGAAAATACACAGGGTGGCAGGACTGGAAAATAACTTTTACAAACACGCGCTTTTTCAAATTTTTTTAAATTATTTCATCTGGAAATGTAATTAATGGATTTTCTTTTCAGTATCACGCGTGAAGAACAACAAACAAGTTGTGAGTTTTTCAAACCTTTTTTTTAAATTTTTCAGTGGCCATCCGGTATATAACGACGTTCAGAAAAACGCAGGTAACCTCCAGTTCTTTCGCGGAAACGAATTTTTTTCTTTTTTTTTGTTTTTCTGAATTCTTCATTTTGAAAGCTGCGGAAGACCGGACGCTGATTAATTTCCATTTCGAAATATCTTTCTGCCGGATCATTGGGAATAACTGGAAAAATTGTGATGCGAAATTGAAGCGGAACACTTTTAATTGTTTTTCAAAACATTCTCAAAGTTCGAATTGCTAGAAACCGGTGATCTGTTTGTACACGGATTGAAATAAGTTGTGAGATAATTTGCAAAACGCGTTTTATTTAATTAACAATTAAAAGAAATTCACTTTGACCTATAGAATTTCTAGCATCATGTTGCACTCGTTCGCAAAATATTTTGGATCCCAAAGTTTCAAAGATGAAAATTTCGCCGATGCATCAGACTTGAAGAAAATTGATTCTACAAATATGTCATAAAGACGTGGTTCTTCGGGCCACCGAGAATCAAGATTCCCACGTTCGATCGTTGATCGACGTGTCGCTCTGATCGGTACACGATCGAGGCTTGCCTGATCGTTTCTTTCTTGGAAGCAACGACTTTCACGCACGAGATTTCGCGTTAATCGGTATCAATATTTCAAACGTTTTCGCAGCGAAAAAAAACGCAGCCTCGTCGTGTTGACAAAAGAGAAAAAAAAAAAAAAAA